AGAGAGAGAGAGAGAGAGAGAGGGAGAGAGAGAGATGGAAAGAGGGAGAAGGAGAGTGTTGCATGTGCTACACATGACTTGTATGTGTTGCTTGTAATTATAATGCACAGTCATCTGCCATCGCATGACACTCCATCCATGTACGGTTTACCTGCACATAATCATCATTACACGCGTTCATGATCAACCAACCTATGTGGTCTAGCTTGTCATCATATTGTACATATCCGGTTCTGGATCCTTCTATCTTCTTCTACTGCTTCTAGCACCTTCCGTCCAGTTCTGATAATCTGGAGTGATTTGCATTTCTTTGTTCTTGTTGTTTATGTTCCCAAGAAGTGAAGTCAAAAATAGAATGCTCTCGCATGTTGGGTGTGTGTGCTCGAGATAAGTAACAAAGTTCAAGGATCGAACTTTACATGGTGTCAGAATAATGTCAACTCGCACAGCCCCGGTCCCTGACCGCTTCGACTTTTCTGCCCCGCAGAAATGGCCTCTGTGGCGAGAACGATTCTCAACCTACCGCCTTGCTACCAAGCTTCACAAGGAGGATGGTGAGGCACAGGTAGCAGCTCTGAAATATGCGTTGGGTCCGGACGCTGAGCCTGTGTTCCTGCAGCTTCAGTTTGACGCAGACGCTGATAAGAAAGACTTCGACAAAGTGCTCAAGAAGTTTGGTGACTATTTCACCCCGAAGACGAACCTATTCCACGAGCGGATGGTGTTCGAGCGTGCAGCGCAGCGTCCAGGTGAGACGGTGGAAGAGTTTCTCCGTCGTCTGCACGTAATAGCTGAGACATGCGAGTTCGGAAATAACAAATCCGATCGCATTCGTGACCGTTTCGTTGCCACCTTGCTAGATGAGAAATTAGCAACGGACTTGCAGCTGACGGACAATCTGACCTTGGAAAAGGCTACAGAGAAAGCTCGCGGGTACGAGCTCGTCCGCCAGCAAGTCGCCTCACAGCGCGGCCATGCCAGTGCTACACCTGCGTCAGCCGCTGTCGCTGGTGCTTCTGCTGCTCCTCGTAAGAGCGCAGGATCGTTCAAGAGTAAGTCTGATGGACCTGCCGGCAGTCAGTCTCACAATCTCTGCATGTTTTGTGGTGGTAAGTCCCATACCCACGACCGCTGTCCTGCTCGGGATGTTACCTGCCGCAGCTGCTCCAAGAAAGGCCATTACGCCCGTGTGTGTCGCTCATCCAAGAAGGGGTCACACTCGTCTTCCAAGCAATCCAGTAGCTCTGGTGCACATTCTCTGGCCACACAGGACGATCCGGGTGTGACTGAGGATTGGGCCTACTTGGATTTAGATAGTATCGCATCAGGCAGCAGTCCATGGATGTGTGATCTGCTGTTGTACGGGAAGTCCGTACCGTTCAAGATTGACACTGGAGCGGATATCACTGTGATTACTCCAGCAACATACGAATCCCTCAAGTCACCACCGCCTCTGAGCTCTCCTACAACACGGTTGACAGGAGCCAATGGTGATCGCATCGACTGCAAAGGCACAGTCAGCGCAACTTTGTCCAGCCCAAAGCTCAGTTCCTCGCAGCACCAGCTGGAGATTCACATTCTGACACGGGGCAAATCCAACCTCCTGAGTCGCGAAGCCTCACTAGCAATGGGTTTTGTGTTCAAAGGCATATCAGAAGCGAAGCAGCCACCTCTTGGACGCATGCTGGGTGAGCCCGTCAAGATCGCTCTGAGGCCTGATGCCGTTCCGTACCAGTGCTCAACAGCTCGTCGTGTGCCGATTCCGATCCTGCCGAAGGTCAAAGCAGAGCTTGTCCGCCTGGAAGCTGCTGATGTCATTACAAAGATCACAGAGCCTACGGACTGGTGCGCACCCATGGTGCCCGTTGCCAAAAAGAACGGCGACGTCCGGATCTGCGTAGATCTGCGACTTCGGAATGCTTCGGTCAGGCGCGAAACCTTCATCCTGCCCACCGTCAACGAGACATTGGCGAAGCTGAGTGGCGCAACATGCTTCACCACCCTGGATGCAGCGAAAGGTTTCTGGCAGGTGCCACTTGATGCCGAAACAGCTAAGCTCACCACGTTCATCACGCCATTCGGACGTTACTACTTCCGTCGACTTCCGTTTGGCATAACATCGGCGCCAGAAATATTCCAGCGCAAGTTAATGCAATACCTGGATGGCCTTCCAGGGGTGTGCGTCTTCATGGACGACATCCTGGTCTTTGGTGTGACAGTCGAGGAGCATGATGCTACCTTGGAGAAGGTCCGATCAATCCTGCGCAATGTTGGTGTCGCCCTTAACCCCGACAAGGAACATGTTCGCCAATCGTCAGTTGAGTTCTTGGGCCATGTCGTCTCCGCTGATGGAGTCAGCCCCAGTCAGCAGCGCCTCGCCGCTATCTCTGAGCTCCAGGCACCAGCCGATCTCCCTGCGCTACGTCGCGTGCTGGGTATATTTAATTATCTCAGCAAGTTTCTGCCGGAAATGGCCACTGTCTCTCAGCCGCTCCGATTGCTTCTCCGCGCTGACACAGTCTGGTGTTGGGATGCTCCCCAAGAAGAAGCTTTCCAACGACTCAAACAACTCGCTAGCCAGTCTCCTTGCCTCGCATTCTACGACGTCTCTAAGCCAACTCTTCTGCGCGTTGATGCCAGTGGCTATGGTCTGGGAGCTGTTCTCCTCCAGCAGCAGTCAGCTGGCTGGCAACCTGTCGCGTACGCCTCCCGATCTCTCAGCGACGCCGAGCGCAACTATGCGCAGATTGAAAAAGAATGTCTAGCCATCGTCTGGGGATGTGAGTACTTCGCCCAGTATCTCGTTGGTAGCAAGCCATTCACGGTGCATACTGACCATAAGCCCTTGGTTCCCCTGGTAAACAGCCGTGATCTAGATCGAGTGCCACTTCGTTGCCAGCGTCTGCTACTTCGACTGGCTCGTTTCGACGTCACTGCCGAGCATGTCCCCGGCCGTGATCTCGTTGTGGCCGATGCTCTCTCTCGAGCACCACTACCTACCACCGTCTCTACCTCGTCTGTTCTGACTGACGAGATCGCTTCTCTTGCCGATTCAGCTGGCGAAGAGTACATGTCGTCTGGATTCTCGCTTGCCCTACGAGATGCCACCCAGGCTGACCGCGTCCTGCAGCAAGTTGCTAAGTTTGTTCAGTCTGGTTGGCCTGATCACAGCAAGGACGACCCTGCTGACATCCTCCCATACTTTGCCGCCCGCCAGCATCTCTCTGTTGCCAACGGTCGTATCTTCTATGGTGCACGTGTGGTTGTGCCTGCATCTCTGCGTGATATGGTCATCCGCAAGCTGCACACGTCTGCTCATCACGGTATCGTCAAGTGCTAGGCGCAGGCCCGCCAATCTGTCTGGTGGCCGTCCTGGAAGAATGACGTCGCTTCTGCTGTTACGCAATGTCGCACATGCTGTCAGCACCGTAGCCAACCTCCTGAACCTCTCCGACCGACTGAGTTTCCGTCACTCCCGTGGCAGCGAGTTAGTTCTGACCTGTGTCAATTCGGTAACACAACATACCTGGTGGTTGTCGACTACTACTCGCGCTATGTTGAAGCCTTGCCTCTCCGTTCCACCACGTCTGCCTCTGTCATCACTGCAATGAAAGCCATCTTCGCCCAGCACGGTGTGCCTGAGACTCTCGTCACAGACAATAGGCCGCAGTATGCAAGTGATGAGTTCGCCCGGTTTAGCTGTCAATGGAACTTTGATCACGTGACGAGCTCTCCGCATCACCCGCAAAGCAATGGGGAAGCAGAGCGTGCAGTGCGCACTATCAAGCAGCTTCTAGCGAAGTCGGACGACTTCCAACTGGCTCTCCTCACCTACCGTAGTACGCCACTTCAGAGCGGGTTCTCGCCATCACAGTTACTGATGTGCCGCAGCCTCCGTGGTACGCTACCGGTGGAGCCCTCCACTCTTCTGCCGACGCTCCCTGCAGGTGAGAAGCTGAGGGAGTGGGAGCAACATCGCCGAGCACAGTCAAAGGACAACTTTGATAAACGTCACCGGACCAAGCCTCTCCAGCCCCTGCAGCCAGGTGATAGCGTGTGGATTGCAGATCAGCAGAGAGAAGGGACTGTTAAGTCATCGCTGTCTGATCGGTCTCTGCTGATTGCAGTACCCAGCGGCACGATCCGTCGCAACCGGCATCAGCTGCGTTTCCTGCCCGCTAGCCCACCGGAGTCTGTTGAGATTCCCAATAGTCCTCCAGCACCCGGCCGGCCGCAGCGTGCCCGACATGCCCCCAGTCGCCTCATTGAAGAGATTTGACTGTCTCTCCGTCTCTCTCAGAGTTATCATGCGATTTCTTGCAAGTTTGTCGCAGCTGTTTTTTCTTCTTGTCTCGATATTATCGTGTTTTGTTCTTTTGAGTATTCCTCCGATTTTTTTTCCTAAGGGGGGAGATGTTGCATGTGCTACACATGACTTGTATGTGTTGCTTGTAATTATCATGCACAGTCATCTGCCATCGCATGACACTCCATCCATGTACGGCTTACCTGCACATGACACGCGTTCATGATCAACCAACCTATGTGGTCTAGCTTGTCATCGTATTGTACATATCCGGTTCTGGATCCTTCTATCTTCTTCTACTGCTTCTAGCACCTTCCGTCCAGTTCTGATAATCTGGAGTGATTTGCATTTCTTTGTTCTTGTTGTTTATGTTCCCAAGAAGTGAAGTCAAAATAGAATGCTCTCGCATGTTGGGTGTGTGTGCTCGAGATAAGTAACAAAGTTCAAGGATCGAACTTTACAGAGAGAGAGAAAGAGAGAGAGAGAGAGCAAGAGAGAAAGCGCCCGTGTAAGACAGAAGAATATATTAAAAAGAGGATAATTATGTGGATCGAAGGAATTCTGAGTACATGCATAAGGTTTAGGCCTGAACAGCATCAGAAAGATCATGTGTACATGTAGCTAGTGGGTGTTGTACACATGGAGCAGGTAGAACGCGACTTACTTTACGCAAGTCACGTGCATGAACTGAACGAGCTTAGAAGGTAGCACGGTGGATGAGAGAGTGGATGAGAGTGTGTGTTGTGTTCAATTCGATGGGAGGAGGGACCGAGAAGTGAGGCGCTAGGCCGAGCGAGGTCGAGTGCATTTCACTTCTAACAAAATCCTCAGCAATGTAAAACCTCTGTTCTTTATCTGAAGTGCATGTACATGTAACATGTACATGCACTTCAGATAGGCTTTGTCTGGCTGATTGCTGCATCAGTGCAAGCACAATGTGACGTAGCTGTAGGTGCTATCGCATAACCGGTAACCACACGGAGCACTCTACACTTTACTGTGGCCGTACCAACATGTGGTGAAGCTCTTGTCTGACCTCGAACAGTGCCATCTCCTGAGACGTACATGTAAATCGGGTTAAATTAACAGTAAACAGTGCACACAGGCACTTGAGTCGAGAGCTTTCTTCTCCATCTCTTCAGGCACCAGTGCTGTGTCATTACGCAGTGTGAGCTAGCTGTGCACGGCAGTGACGGCACCAGTACAGTAGGCAGTAGGCAGTAGGCAGTACCCGACACAAAGTACCTTTTTTATTACAATCAGCAAAATGTGAGAGAACAACAATGGACAAAGAACTCAACGCAGGGCTTGTTGTTATGACAGTGACCACTATTGCCGATACCATGCACCAGTGTGACCACTGTTGCCGATACCATGCACCAGTGTGACCACTGTTGCCGATACCATGCACCAGTGTGACCACTATTGCCGATACCATGCACCAGTACCAGCACACGTACAGTGATGCCATGTACTTTATAAGCAGAAATATTTGTCTGGAATTTAATTTCGTCTTTTTCGTAAAAGGAACTTTTGGACTAAATTAAGTGCCGGACTAATGTCGATTTTTCCAGCTTTTCTATACACTATTATGATCCATGGACGAAATTTGCAACCGGACGAACTCCCTTTCTTAGGAGTTGGACGAAATTATTGACCGACGAAATTTTCTGCCTCTACATAACTGTTGTCGAGTCACCTCCACCATTACACTGCACTGCGCTCTTTAGCCGACTAGACCCTCCACCATTACACTGCGCTGTTTAGCCGACTAGACCCTCCTGCACACAACCATCACCATTACACTGCGCTGTTTAGCCGACTAGACCCTCCTGCACACAACCATCACCATTGCGAGGACACTTCCGTGGACGATATTGATAAACTCCTTCAGACAGCTGTTTCGCTAATACATAGCTCATCAGTGAAGGTAGATGTTGAATGATTAAACATATAGACGAAACTGCTATTATATATGGGGGGTTTCCACATACAAAACTGGCATAGCTGAGGTGATAACGTGGGAAAAGGAAAATGTGAACTACTGGTGACGCGCATTGGACATCATGCAGCGTCGGAAATTCGGCGCGGAAAATCAATCACTATTCAATGCAGAAATAACGTGCCAGAATCAGATACTATGTAGCTAGTGAGAGTCTGTGTACTAGTATTGCAGTTGTCCGAGCGCCCCTATATAATAGCAGTTTGGTCTATATTTTTCATCATTCAACATCTACCTTCACTGATGAGCTATGTATTAGCGAAACAGCTGTCTGAAGGAGTTTATCAATATCGTCCACGGAAGTGTCCTCGCAATGGTGATGGTTGTGTGCAGGAGGGTCTAGTCGGCTAAAGAGCGCAGTGTAATGGTGGAGGTGACTCAACATTTTCTTCAATGGCCGAGAGCTCTGTCGCACCCTGTAATAACTACATAACTGTTTTGTTGGGAAATAAAGTGTTATCGACATCAGTAGTGTTATCGACATCAGTAGTGTTATCGACATCAGCATAACACGCAATGCTAACTGGTGACAAGTTAGTTTGTGACATACAATAATATTTAACGACACCTTTCTCTCTACAAAACAGCATTGTATCGTTCTACTTACAGCTTCGAGAACCTATCTCTCATGCAACCAGCCCTCTGGTAGGAGTGTTTGATGGTTGACTTTATAAGTTCGGACAAGATCGGACATGCAGCCAGAGTGGTTGGAGATGGCACCGCGTGTTTGCACATACTTGTACATGTACGTGTACATGATTGTATGCATGTGCATTATTTATGCACGTAGTGATGTACAAGTACAATGATGTACTTCAAAAGAGGCATGCATGTACAATGAGATGGGAATGCTTTTGTTTTGGAGAAGGCATCCACCAGTGGACGACTATAGTCATGCCCTGTACTGGCCGACTAGAGACCCCGTCACCCCGGAGCCCAGACATACTCTTGCCAACTTGCAGCCTTCAGCCAATCTACATGTACGTCCAGAAACGATTCGTCTGTTTAAAAATAGATCATCTCTGATTTCCTGTGAAGGCGGCGGGCGCATGTTTCCATGGTTTGAGAGGATTATGCAATATATTTGCCCAACTGTAGAGCATAGCCTCTTTACTTTAGCGATTGCATGGAGTGGATTCGTACGTAAAGTTTCCCCACTGGCAGTGGGTGCACTCAGAGCCACTCTCACGTGATGGTAGATGCCCACATTACTACTTACATGTACGTTTCGTAAAGCTTTACTTCTGGCTGCGGGAAATCTATAGTGTGCAGTCAGGTCGTGACATCTTTGGAACCAAGACAATCTTCTAATGTCCCATGTTTAAACTGCCTGGAAAGATGGGTGAAGACGTTCATAGTTCGTACCCGCCGCATGCCCGTTGTCGAAGAACCCGTGATGTTCACAATGCGCATCTAATCTGTTTGCGAACCAGAATAGCACATCGAAGTAAATATTTGATTAGAAGTCTACGATGCGGACCCCATCACACACAGTATCCGCGTCACGGGCAGCTCGCATGCGTTGTGCATGTGGGTGATCGATGGTAAGGGTTTCACAGAATCGGTTTACATGTACTAGTAATTTGAAATGTTTGAATTGGTGTAACTGTAGGGATCATTTTGATGGTAATAGGCTAATACATGCCCTGTTAGGCTAATACTAGTAATAGCAGATAGGAATCTGCTGACGAGGCGAGACATCTGCACCTGCATGTGCTTCGATACCTTCAAGGTCATAATGCTCAACATGCTCTCAATAATGTCGAGATACTTGAACTGGTTGGAGTTGTGCTCGTCATGGTGTGTATCAGGTGTTCCCTGCGTGTCATTAATTTTGTATCTAGTTACCTCTTAATCATACCTTTCCCAGCACCATAAATGGCATAACCTGTAGAATGATTACTAGGCTACTACGCTAGCATGTACATTGTACATGTAGATGGAATCCCCACAGGGAAATCCCCTGAGAGGCCATGTCCTTTTAGGTTACCTGGTTACACACATTTTTAAATGGTTGTAGTGCATAAATGTATGAGAAATATTCTTCACCCCAGGTACAACCCAAGGCTTGGGTATTGTAATGACTTGCAAGTTGCAGCTTGGCCTTATCCACACATCTGTGTGAGTCTCCTTGCTGATAAAAAATGACACAGGGTCAGGAGGGCAGATGTGCGACGTTGTATACATGTAAGAACACTACAGTAAAGGAACATGCATTAGGTCTCCGGCTTTTCTTATTGTCCTGAAATGTGCAAGTTCTCTTGCCAATAAAATACCCATATGTTAGGGGTAAACAATTTTGTCCAGATTGCAATCATATACATGTATACATGCACATGCACATGATTGTACATTGCATTATGATAAATCAATGTCCTCTGATCCTGCACATTGGTTGACACGGTAACATCTTGGCTGACACAACAAACTATGCCGGTTCCTTTATGAAGTCATATCTGTTTCCCTTTGCATCGACTGCTGCTGGCCTTGTTGTTGTTGCAACACGCAGCACGCAACTGATCGCAGATGGATACCACAAACATGCCATATTAGGACAAATTGTGATTGTTTCCCAACTGGAATCTATTACCGTCATTGATAAGGATTGAATGGAGTGCATGTACATGATGTATGGGTGAATGCATTACATACAATCATGTATAATCAGACATCAGTCATGTACATGATTGTACATTCTAAAGATCTACAGACATTTGAAGAGGGCACGTGCTGGACTATCCAATTAGTTAGTGATGAACACCCGTACCACCACACCAGCCACCAGTCACCAGTACATGAACGTGCAACAACAACAAAAAAGAATGATCGAACAACAAGTCACATGCACACGTACGTCATTTCAAGTATAGCATGCCAGCAGCTGTATCATTTAGGAATGTCTCAAGACACAAACACACACGTCACTTCTTTACAAATACAATCATGTAGCATTATAATCATTGGCGAGACG